TTTTGTTTTTCAAAAAAACTTGTTAATTTCATAGAATTTGCAGCATCCTTTTGATTTTGTGCCTTTTTGCGATAAGTGGTTCTTTCAGAATTTCCTATATATACCAATGGATGATTAGAAGTAGAAAAATCTTTTTTATGAGCATTTTGCATCATAACTTCAAAAATTGATGCATCTAAATTTTCAATCACATTATCCAATGCCTCACTATGCCAATTGTCATCATCAGCATCACTATCAGAAAGTTCATACTCATTAGTATTTTCAATCTCAACATAATCGGATTCACAAATAGTCTTATCATCATCATCAGTTTCTGGTACAAAATCATGTGAGAGAGTATTTTGAATAAATAAATTGTTCTTTGATTTTTTTGCAAGTCTAGCTTCTTTAAGTTGAGAATTTCTTTTTTTTGGTGGCATAATTAATTTAATTAAGACAAATAATTTTTATAAATATTTTTGACGCGGTGATTTTTTTACATCTATACAAGACCAAATTTAGAAATGATAATCGTAGATCATCCTAAATTTAGACAATCGTGTTACTGCCAAATCATCTTGAACATAGTAAAATACATGTACTAAAAAGGAATAGAACACGATAACCAATCAATATTTTGAAAAAATCTCTCTGTTACGATAAAGTTTGAGTCTCAATCTATGCAATAACAGAGTTATTTTTAAAAAAGGATCAACAGAAACGGACTTCTATTCTTTCAAAAATCACGTGCAAAAATGGTGGTTATAGGCTTCGCGCACCATATTTGAATTTGAATTTGAATTCGAATACAAAATTGGAATACAAATATAATTCTTGGGTTCATAGTAGATCTGATGTAAATTAATTTTATATCACTTAACAAATGGGGGCATTATAAACTAATTGTGATGATAATAACTAAATTTTGATCCCTGAAATTTTTGGTAATACCAATGTTCACTTTGTCTGGTTTTGTTACAGTATGCCCCATATATGTAATCTCCTCCTCATATTAATATGTAATCATTGGAACAATAAATATCTTAATTATTTTATTATTATTAATTGCTATTACCCAAATTTTCATATAAATAATAACCTCAGCAAAATTTTTCCCAAATTAGGAATGTTAACTCAATTATATGGAGTCTTTCCTTGTACGATCCATTCATCCATAGACGGATTAGTTTTTACACGTTTTTACACGTTGAAAAATGATCAACAGACGCACATAATATCGAACCCCCCATTGGACGACGCAACTTATTTATTTAAACCTAATACCAATATTAATAATATACTAAGAATATAAAACAACATCGACTATTTTCTATATTAATAAAAAAAATCCCCATTCAACAAGAAGAGCATGATTTTTGATATACCTTGTGACCGAGTTCACAATAAGAAAACGCATATTATTTTTCTTCTATTTTTCGTTTTCTTTTGAGTTTTCGGAAGCTCCCCATAATACTTTTTGTTAATTTTTTCCCTTGATAAATTTCCGATAAGTCTTACTTTATCTAAATATTCTTTAATGGCTTTAGTATCATTTATTTTGAACATTCTAAACTCAAGCGTGAATACCGTATTTCGGGTCAACGACACAACATGAGAGAGACCATATTTGAATCTTTATGAGAGACAGGCGATATATTCGTCTTTGGATCTGATAAAAATGTCATTTTTCTTCTTGAATAGCGGCATTGACATCTTTCCGGTCAATGGAAACGTCAAGTTGATATCCCCTCTCCAAGGAGATTGATTTAAGAAAAAACGCGAGCAACTTGATTAATGACAATTATCCAAACGGCCATGTATCCGGGAATCGAATCAATGGTTCCGTGATCACCATTAATGGTCTCTCATAGATGGTGGGTGCTGAATCTTTTTATTAAAAGTCATAAAGTCACAATTTACTTTTCACAATTTATGAAGTTTTTATTTGTATTCAAGAATAAATCAATCTAAACCAAAATTAATGATATTAAATTTGGCGTTTATGAGGATCAGCCGATTCAATGTAAAGAAAGAGGTATTGTTAAAAAAATTAGGTTTTACTCCTTTAAATATACTTGTTTAAATTTATAAATCATTACTAGCTTGTTGTTAATATATAGTATTAATAATATTACAGACTTGTGGATTATGTCAATTCCAGCTAATCAAGCATTAGCTCCTCAAAATACTCTATATTTGGAGTTTCACCAGAGATTTAAAGAGGTATAGTCTTGAAGTCTATTTTTAATCATATTTATTCCACATGATTTTAATCTTACAATGGCCATTTCTGAAGACCTGCATATTTTTAAACAATACTCCTTTATATTAAAAAATTGGCATTGATTCAAATACTGATGGTAGACCATTCTGTTGATTTAATAATAGCGGTAGATGATCCTGATAAACAAATTTATCGGTTAAAAAAGTAAGAGCTTCATAGATAAAATTTTCATTTGATCCTTCAACTTGTAAATCAATAATTCATCCGAATTCTGTCTACTTTACAAAACCTTTTCGCAACCAGCAAATCGAAATAATGGTAATTATTATAATCATCTAGTCAATCATGGATTGGATTTGATGAATTATCCAATTAAAGAAAAAAAATTTTTTTTTTGAATAAGTTTTCTTGCTTAACTTCATTGGTGACAAATATATATATATATATATATACATATATACACACACATACACATACAGCTTACTAATTTAGATTTAATGGGGACATAAAAATTTTGTAAAAATCCGGAATTAAAATGCAGGAAAATGTAACGACAATAATAATAAATAAAAACTTTAAAAATATAAAAGTTGGTTGGTTATTAAGTAAGAAAAAATGTGCCATTGATTGAAATGAAAGAATGCATATATGAATAATAATTCGAACTTCTATTAATAGAAATGTTATTTTATGAAATTTTGAAATTATAATTTCCGAGTTGAATGAAATAATTGAAAATTAACGTGTCTTGCTTCAAGTAAAAATTATTATGGAAGGGGTGGCTTAAAGTGTTATCGCACGCAAGAAATATTTGTTATGAATATCTTCCTCTATTCATAAACTAATTCCTCTGATGATCTTGACCTGAGCAAGTTTCTAACGTTTTTAATGTGTATATTGTGTGTGTGTGTGTGTGTGTGTGTGTGTGTGTGTGTTGCTGTGTTTCGACAGAATCATCAAATTCAAAAAAAAAAAGAATAGTAAATTTATTATCTTATATAACTCTAGCGAAACTACGAAAATTAGAATTCGTTCGTTAAGTTTGGTGGCCAGCTTCATTACTGATGAATGATTGATTCAAATGACGGGGTACTTTTGGTTACTCCTAAGTCCATGAAATTCTCGTGCTTTTTCAAGCCATTATTTATTTTTCGCACACTTTTTTCAATTAAAAAAAAAACTTGGCTAAGGCTTATCAATAAAATTTCCCAAATTATTAGTGTGACCAGTTTCATACTCGTTTTTTTTTTATGAACTAGATCAACATATTTGGCATTTGGTACATAAAACACATAAATAAAATTTAAAAAAAAAAAAAATTTTATTTTAATTTCTCAACTTCTCATGATATTAACAATAGCAGAAACTAACTTTGCAATAATAGCAAAATCAACAACAAAAAAGTTCATCATATTTTTGACAGGGTTAAAAAGTGAAGTAATAACAAGTGGAACACGAAACAAACTGTGCATATTTTGAATTTTTTTTGTTGTTGAAAATTTTGCTATCAAGATTAATAAACTTTCCAATATTGAAAAGTTCTCGGAACCTTGTTGTTACAATACATTTATATTTTTTTTATCCTCCTTAAAACTAAAGAATAATAAAAGATTGTAATTTTTATTATAAGATGTCGTATCAATTTGAATCATCGTCGCCACCCTCCTTATCTTCTTCAATATCTTCACTTTGTTCATCTGATTCTTCCCCGCCGCCATCTTTTATTTCATCTTATTTTACGGAAAATAATGATATAATAACTAGTCACCAACAACAACAGCAACAATATCATCATCATCCTACTAATCATCATCATCATCACCATCATCACCATCACCACCATCAACAACAACAACAACAACAACATTATCATTATCAACAGCATCATTTATCTCAAAATGTTCACAATAATTTTTTGTTAGTTACCGATCAGACTCAGGCCAAAACTAAAAAGGAAGATTACGACTACTCTATTCTTAACATTATTCCAAATTTAATAAGTGAAAAAAGGAAAAAAACAATATTTGTAGAAAAACTTGTTGGTGAGTAAAGTAAAAGATAATTTATTTATATTATACTAAATGAAAGTGATTAAAAAAAATTTTACATGTGAAAATTTTTTATGAATAATAATAATAATAATAATAATAATAATAATGACAATAAATCTTTATATTAGACATGACTTGCCATATAATTGAAATCATTTGGGCCGATATGTTTTTTGATCCAAGCTCCAAAGTTATTTCACTAAAAGTTTTCGTGAAGGAAACTTTAAGGCGTTCCAGGACTTCGTATTCTACTTTACAAGCAACTTTATTATATTTATTTCGAATTAAATCAAAAATTTCTTTAATTACTGATAGGTCTAATCGTAATAATAATAATAATAACAATAATAATAATAATAATAATAACAATCCTGCGACTTGTTGTAGACGGATGTTTTTGGCCGCTTTAATAATTGCTTCGAAATATCTTCAAGATTGTAATTATTCTAATCGTGCATGGTCAAGGGTATCAGGTCTTCCTATTAATGAATTAAATACGATTGAGATATGTTTTCTTCGACTTATTGATTATAATTTGTTTATTTCTGAAAACAATTTTAAACATTGGAGTAGTTTGTTATTAAAATATATTCAAGAAACTTTTTATTTTTCTGGAACAGATCCACGCAAAGATTCTGTAGATAATAGCAATTATTATCATCATCATCACCATCATCACCATCATCCTCATAATCATCCATTTATTAATGACATTTTAGAAAATCAACATTCTATAGTAAAATTGCAAGAAATTATGAAATCTATGGATGAATTTGAAAGTTTAGCTCAGAGATCTTGTCAGAATGATTCATCGAGTGGCAAATATCAAAATCGTAAAAGTACCAGAATCACGGCAAATTGAGAAGGAAGGAAATTATATAAACATGACGAATACATTTTTATTCGCTTTTTAAAGATATTTTCTTCAATTCACACGTATATATTTATCTTATTTATCATCTATATTTTATTTCATTTTAATTTATGTATTATATTAGAATTTTTTTCGTTAAATTTTTTTTTTTTTTTTTTTTAAAAATAAAAAATTTTATTATCAACATCAACAAACCAATTATAATTATCAAGAGTATTCTATTCGTCACAAAAATATTAATAATCTTTTTATTATAATAATACCTTTAATGTCAAAGACCAAACCTTTTCATGCACATCATATATTATATAGATAATTTCATAATAATAATATTTCCTATAATGTTGTACAACTTTTTGCGGCAAACCAGATTTTACAATGATAAACTTTTTGGAATATTTTTTTGTGAAAAGATCACGGAGATAGATAGGATTAGGACAACAGGTACTAGTCGGTCATTAAATCTGCGTGACAAACATAGCAAGTCTTTATTTATTACACTAAACCATTTGGAGATTAACTTGATTTGTAGTATCATGGAACAAAAAAAAGTATAATACACAAACTTGAACCTTTTTGTATGAGTGTGACGCATGGATGGGTCATAATACAGGCAAAACTCGATGGAGTCGGTCCTCTCAATCACAAATAAGTTATGCCATATTACCAATCTCGATTTTATACGTCTTTCAGTAATAAAAATCGAAATCTTTTTTTTTTTTGCAAATATTTCTGATTTTTAACGTTGCGATGACTCGTGAAAAAAATACAGTGCCACCTGCACAATGATAATTATTTATATTTTGAGTTTCTTTTTTTAAATTTTCTAATAATCATACATATATATTTATATAACAATTAATTTTATATAATATACAATATCGATCCGTTGCTTTATTGTTTATAAAAAAGACAATTTGGTAACTGTGATTCAATTTGATAAAATCAATCATGTTGGCCGTGACGATTGGATGAACTAATGGTGGTGTGTATTTTTTTTATATTTTTTAATTTATCCAATAATTTCGATGTTTGTTGTGTGTGTTTAGCACATCCATGCATATCAATATGAAAGAAACTTTGAAATATTTTTAGAAAAGCCGTCATTTTCCAAATTACTGAATGATTGTTATTTGACCGGTTAAAATAACAAACGTAGTCTCTATATATGCAAAAACTTTGGGTGTCGAGTTTTTTTTGATTGATCGACGATGGTTTATTGTAAATAAAATTTTTATTTTTATTTATTTTTATTTTTGTTACATACATGATAAATAAATTTTTTTTGCTTTTTCTCCAATTATTCGTAGAGTAATAATAACAAAGAATTTACATTCGTATCATTATGATACATCAATTCACGTAGGAAAAAAATTGTGTCATAATAATATATAGTTATTTGTTAAAATTTGAATTGAACGTGAAAAAAATGATGTGGTTGATAACTGCAAAGTAAAAACATTTGATAAAACTACACCAGTTCAACTCAAGGATGGACAAGTGACAATAAAACATTCATTATAGAGGATACGGAATTATAATTATCTTGAATAAGGTTTCTTTTAAAAATGAACAGAAAAATATCGAAAAGATTGGTGGAAGCAGATTTGCAATTATTTACTTGGATAAACGGTTATAAATGTGCAGATGATGACGACGACGATAAAACAAGTAGTCGTCGAGGTGAGATTATCCTATTATCATGTAACAACTTATGTCGTTGAATTGTCTTTGTTGGGTATTATTAACATTAATATTGTTCTTCTGTTTTTAGGATGAAACTGATCAACCAATTAATTAAAGTATGAGGCTAACTGAACTTGAAACTAATTGGAGCCTGAAACATCCAACAATTGATTAATATAAAAAGATGCTAGTAAATCTTGGGGCAATTGCGAAACAAATTGCTGAAAGTAGACGCATTTTGTGATGTAGAATGCAACACTATACAATTTGCGTTCTGCTGCAGCAAAGGTAACTAATTAGTTGATCAAAAAAATATTCATTCATTCAAGGTTTATTATTATTTAAGTTATAATATGTATGTATATTGTTTATCAATTATTATTAATAAATCTATTTTCATTATTATTTATTATTTATTATAGTAGTAATTGCAATAGATATTGATAGTTGGTTTGTTAGAAATAGAATTATTTTTTTTGAATAATAAATCTCAAGAAAAAAATCATCTGCTATAGTTAAGATTAAATTCAGTGTTGGCTATAAAAAAACTTTCTTATCAGGTTTTACTCTATGGGTATTTGTGCTTCCCATGCTTGCTTGTCTTAAACCCTGAAGCTTCGTAATAAAAACTTGCATGTTGGCTAATGGTTTGTGTGATTGTCTGCATCCTGCACTTTGCATGGGTCGAATTACTGACCAATATTTGTAATCCAGGATTAATAAGCCAGATCGAATTTTCAAGATTAAATTCCTGCGCAACGTTATTGATAATTCTTTACATGAGAGTTGGATCTTGTTTAGTAATTTTTGATGGACTAATATGGTATCTTCATCCAAAACAGTGCCAATCCAGTCACACCAATGTTTCTTGTTCTCGCCTCACTTCATGGTGTCCAGTTAGACCTTCTCGACAAGTACACTAAACATTATATCTAGAAAAGGATCAGAACATAATACCTGTTTAAGCCAAAGCTCTTCCCTTTCAATCTAAAGTTTCCAGTCCAAACTATTTTTGGAAAAAAGGACTAATATTTTTTTTCCTATTTTAATTTAAATAATTTCGACTATGTCATGAAGAGCCATTATTCGTGAATTACCTGATGTTTCGCCCGAAATAGATTTGGTTCTATAAATATAAAAAATAATAACGATAGAATAGAAAAAACAAAAATTAAAAAAAAATACAATGGTTATGATTCTATTAAAAGCGCTTGATTCAGTTTGTTCACGATTTTGAACAATATTTTCAATGGATTAATGTAGTGACTTGTGTAACTTGTGTTGATATTTGTGAGAAGAGGCACCGGTTAACCGATATCATTAACATGTAAATATTCCTAATTACTCACTAGTAACATCTACTGCATTTGTAAACGTTTCTAATAAGGGTGCAGACATATTGCTAAACTATAACTCTATATTGTAACTATATTGTAACTCTTGGAAAGGGTTTGCCGTATGATCGATCGTATGTTGTTATCATAACTGTTTATCTTTTCTTTTGTTTAAGTGACGCTAACATAAATTAGCAAACAAATTTACCAAAATTCCTGTTTTATTTAATTTCATACGTGCACTTTCTGTATGTCATACTAGAGTGATAACCTCAAGTGCTATATTTTTGCTCCCTTAGTTCCTAATGATATCTTCCAACTTGAAAACAAGGCTTGCAATTGATTTTATTGCTGGTTCGCCACCAGACGTATCTTGCAACTCAATCGTTTGTCAATTTATTATGGAAGGATCTCTAGTTTTATGTGAAAAATATGTTGTGAAGCAATTTTTTGCCTAAAGAAGTGGACCAAACAATTCAAACTATCACTATTTGTTATTTTGAAATATTACTGATAAATCAAAGAATGTGTATTATTATTTTTTATAAATATCCAAAGAAAATGATATCGCTGGTAATAAATATCATTAATCTTTGATGCTAAAGAATTTAAAGTTTGGTATTAACGTAAGTGAGTATATAAAGAAACAAAATAACAATAACGAATGTTTTTTGAGATGGAATTTTTTATATTGGATTATTATAATCTATTTTTATTATTTTGAGTTTTAAACATATATGGAAAAGTTTAAGTTCACTAATTAAGTAATTGAACTCTGAAACAATCTTTATGAACACATTTTTTCATAAACACGAACCCCTAGACACGCACGTCTTTGTCGGCCACATGATGTAATCGTGGCACGTAACACGTGACAATTCACAAAGTTTGATAGCAATGTTGTATGAAAATTATTTCAGATCAAATGAAAATGAGCTTTACCATACCATACGTAAAGATAAATATTATTAATATACTACTATTGAAGTTCATTCATAGCTTTGATGTATTGACTGATTGACAAGTTAACAACCATTTTGTGTGTGAGACCAGGCAGGATTTTTGAATGGACCCTGAAAAAATTTTTGTGTCATGCTGACCCCATATTGTTATTATATATGTAATATATATGATGATTGTTTTTTTTTTGCGGTGACACCTGGAATTTGTTTTCCTTCTCTCATATTATTAATATATATATATATATATTGTTCTTTTTAAAAAATTTTCTTTAACCCAATCAGTCAAACAAATAACAAAATCTAGGAAAAAAATTAGAAAACAGAAGAAAGTAAAGTAAAAAAATAAAATAAATCTAAAAAATTCCATGTCTTCCCCAAAAGTTACTAATACTTTTGTTAGTTCCATTACTGATGTAACTAACGATGCAATTGATGGCGCTTCTGATGGTGCTACTACTACTATTACTATTGCTAATAAAACTACTACTACGAACGGCTCTACCACTAGTGATGAATCTGCTTCTGACACCGATAATGATAATAGTAATAATAATAACTCCAACATTGAAAATGAAACTGATACAAACAACAACAATTACAACATTACCACGACCACTACTTCTAATACCACTTCTAATGATGAAAAAGAGAAATCAAATGAAGCTAAAGAAGAAACAGATGAAGCTAAAGAAGAAAATGATGGTGATGAAAGTAAACAAGCTTGGCAAATGGTTTGGAATAACGATGTTCAAGCATATTATTATTGGAACACTTTAACAAATGAAACAACTTGGACAACTCCAACCGAATTACTACAACAACAAGAACATCACCAATCACTAGAACCTGATAATAATATTACAAGTGATAATCAATATTATGGATATTCAGAACAAGATTATTATCAATATTATTATGGCTATTATCCAGAAGGTTATTATTATGAATATGATCCAAATATTAATACTTTTGTTAGAACTAACAACACTAATATCAATAATATTAATAATAACATGTTGCTAATACTAATTCTATTCATTATTATTACTACTACTACTACTACAGATGCTAATAATAACAACGTCAATTTAACATCTTCGGTAAATTCTTCCACAGCCAACACAGATCAGACAAATCCTTTAGATTCATTATTAGATAAAATTGATACAGAAGTTAAGTCTAAACTTGATGGAAATAATACTAATAACAGTAGTAGTAGCAGTAATAATAATAATAATACTTCTTCTTTTCTATCAAACCCTCCCACGAATTCTTCTACTTCTGCTGCTACTATATATTCACCAAATAATAATACGACAACACGGTTGTCATCATCAACACCACAATTATCGACCATCACATCACCATCTTCATCGTATTCTACATCAGATGATATTTCTATTAACAGTAATAATCAATATTCTAAAGAGCTAGATGGCAATTCTGAATATTATTCATTTTTAGCACAACATGGCAGTAATAATGACAACAACAGTAGCGAACCTGCTGGTTATACTGTAACAGGAAGGTTTAATTCACGCACTGGTAAATTTCAACGAGATCCCACTTTGAATCCTGAAAAATTTTCTGCAGAAGCAAAAGCAGCTAGACAAATGTCTTATTTCTTTGATTACGAGCGTTACACTGAGCAAAGAGGATTAAATTATGCTGTCGCCGCATACAACAACAGTACAAGTTTTCCATCTTTGGCAACATTAACGGCACCAATCACACCACCAACAACAATATCAACAACAAAATATAAAAGTAATAAGAAATTAAATAAAAGAGAAATTGAAATATTAAAACAAAAAAGAATCAAGAAAAAAGAAATGAAGAAAAAAGCTTGGTTAATTGGTGGGGATTAATTATAATAATAATTTGAGTTTTTATTAGACGTGTGCACACAAAGTCATATGTTTGTTTGTCATATGTTTTAAATAATTTAAGTATATATTATATATATATATCTATATCTATATATAATTGCGAAAGTAATATCATATTATTTTTAATGTAAAAGAAAAACTTGATTGTTTCGTTTATATAGAAAAGATTATTAGATATTTTTTTTATTAAAAAAAATAATTTATTCATTATATATATGTCACTATGATCAATTAATATTGGTGACTCGTCTTTAAAATTTTTTCGAAACCCGAAATATTTTGATTTTGTGTAGCATACATAATTCTAATAATTCTCAAGACAGATGCTAAAAATAAATTTAAATAATTGGTGTTGTATAATTTTTCTTTATATCGTCACTTTATTCATTGATGATTTGTTTAATTTACAAGAGTTAGCAATTTACTTTGTTATTTTCCAAAGGTTAATTTGACGATAGATTTAAATAAAGTAATGGAAAAGTGTTTCATAATTTCAACAATAAAAATAAACAAATAATAATCTTGAAACAATTGAAACAAGGAATTTTTGGTATACTTTTGTTAATTTAAAAAAACAATCATAAATAAATACACAAATTTTTAATTTTATTATTAAAAAATTTTTTAGGAAAAAAATGTAACATAATTTATGTATAGTTTATATAAGATATATAAATAAATAAAATTTATTTTCAAATTGTAACTTTATATTACAAGCACGCCTCCACCACTTTTTTTTTCTAATCCATTTTTAACACTCTAAAACGTCTTTCTTTCTCTCTATTTCGAATTTTTTTTTCATCATTCTCAAGGGGGGTTCTATATAAAAAAAAACTTAATAATAATAAATAGAATAATAATTAATAATTAAATATAATTTCATAATAATAATATTTACCATTAATTTTTTTTAATAATTTAATTTAATTTTAATTTAATTGTCATTTGAGTTTCTATCTTTTCATTTTTTTTTTATTCTTTTATTTCATTCCAATCTTCAAGTATTATATAATAGAGTTATTATTTAAAAAAGTATAATCATAACAATCTCTTTTTTTTTTGAAAATTACAAAAAAAAAAAAAACCAGAAAGGTAACATACAAATATAATAATAAATAATAATAAAATAATATAATAATGGGTTGTTGTATGAGCATAGAAGATAGAGAAAGAAAAAGAAAAAATGACGAGATTGAAAATCAACTTAAAAGAGACAGGCTCTCAATGCGTAATGAAGTTAAAATGCTCTTGCTAGGTATTTATTCATATACATCTTTAAAAAAAATGTTCATTCATTCACCCTCTCGCTCGCTCGTTCACTAATTCAATTAATCAACTAATCAATTAAAGGTGCTGGCGAATCCGGCAAGTCAACAATTTTAAAACAAATGAAACTTATTCATGACGGAGGCTATTCATCCGAGGAACGTGAATCATTCAAAGAAATTATTTTCTCAAATACAGTACAATCAATGCGTGTAATTCTAGAGGCTATGGGTACAATGGGAATTTCACTTCGTGATGGGTCAAATAAAGGTTACGAAAGCATCATTCTAAATTTGCCAAGTCAAATCGAAGGTGATCATTTGCCTTCAGACGTTTCAACGGCCATCAAAAATTTATGGACTGATAGCGGAGTAAGAGAATGTTTTAATAGATCCAGAGAATATCAATTAAATGATTCAGCAAAATAGTATGTGTCTTTCTTTCATTCTTTATATTTTACGATGCAATTTATTATTGCTATTATTATTATTATTATTATAAAATAGTGTTTAAATTACATGTATGTCAGCTAATATATAAATGATATTTACTTACTTACTAATACTTGCACTTGTACATTTATATTAAATAGTTATTTTGATTCAATTGATCGCATTTCACAACCAGACTATCTTCCAGACGATCAAGATGTATTAAGATCTCGAGTAAAAACAACTGGGATCACAGAGACTAGCTTCCTAATTAATGAATTAACCTATCGTATGTTCGATGTGGGTGGTCAACGTTCTGAACGTAAGAAATGGATTCATTGTTTTGAAAATGTTACTGCGATTGTTTTCTTGGTAGCTATTTCCGAATATGATCAATTGCTATTGGAAGATGAGACTGTGGTATGTAATTGAGTAGTGCTTAAAGATATATTTATTTATTATATGATTTTTAAGTCGAAACATTTATTTATATACTAAAAATTATTTTACAATTCTTCCTTTTAGAATCGTATGCAAGAAGCATTGACATTATTTGATTCTATTTGTAATTCAAGATGGTTTGTCAAGACGTCAATTATTTTATTTTTAAATAAGATAGATCGTTTCAAAGAAAAATTACCATTATCCCCAATGGTAAAATATTTCCCCGATTATGAAGGTGGAAGTGATTATGAACTTGCGTGTGATTATATACTTAATCGTTTCGTATCACTGAATCAATCAGACATAAAACAAATTTATACACATTTCACTTGCGCAACTGATACGGAACAAATCAAATTTGTGATGGCTGCTGTTAACGATATCATCATTCAAACTAATTTAAGAGATTGCGGTCTTTTATAAAAAAAAAAAAAAAAAAAAAAGACGAAGAGGTTGGTGAAAGGCGAAGAAGAAAGAAAGAAAGCAGAATGATGATGACGAAGGAGAAACTATTAGATGATAATGATAGTTTATATATAAATATAATTTTAAAAAAATAATATATGTATAGTATATAAAAAAAAAAAAAAACAAAACTTTAATTTCCATGATTAATACTACCATTAGTTATCACTATTATCAATCACGCACACCGCACATTCACATATTATAATCACATTCATACACACACGCACACAAATATATATATCTCTTGGAAAAGATCCTTTTCCTTCATTTTCATATATATATATATATATATTTATTTTTTTGTAATTTTTAAAAAAGTTGTAATATTGATAATAATAAATTTAATGATTTTGTAATAATGGTAATATTAAAATTTTTTTTTTATTTATAATTATTTAGTTTTTTTTTTTTTTATTTTTACTAATTTATTTAAAAGAAAAAAATTATTATTTATTTATATCAAATAAATAAATAATATATATATATATATATATTCATTTGTTTTCTATATCTATATTTTTAAAAAACTTATATATATTTATTTTATATACATATTTAATTCCATCACTAAAAATTAATATAGCAATAATAATAATATAATAATTTTAAAGAATAAAATAAATTTATTCTTTTTATTCATAATAACTATAACTTGAATAGCAACAAAGCAAATTTATATCCATGTTGTTTTAAAGTCAAACTCACTAAACGATACCTAAAGAAGTGAGATGATGACGATGATGATGATAATAATAATGTCAGGTAATGAAAATGTGCAAAGATGAATGATTAATTTACTACTTAATCTTCAACGTATATGCATGCATATTATAATTTATCTCTATTTTTTATAGATGATGATGGTGACGGCTTGTTAGATTCTTTTTAATAATAGTTTGAAATATATTAAATGCTGCAAGTTTCAGATCTTGTAATCTTGGCTCTGAAATTTTGCACCTTTAAAATAATTAAACCTGCAACTTATTTGTTGTCGGATCGATTATCGGATTTAAGAGCACCGTTCATTCATTTTTTAAATAATAATTATTATCTCATTCATCATCACTGATTCTGATTCTTTTTTGACCAGCCGCATTGTCTCTCTCTCTCAATGTTGTAAGCAAGTTTGTATGTAACTTTACAAAATTCATTGTTTCAACACATCATTAATTCGTTGTTAATCTTTTAACAGAGATATACATACAATACCTTCATTTAATTTCAATTATGTGCTAGTCCAAAATTGACTCTTAAGGGGAGAAATTGGCTGTCATCATCGATTAAAATTTTGTCGATCGATCACTTTCCCAGTTTAAAGATCGTGAGGCGGAGTAATATTTTGCAAAAAAAAAAAATGATGGTTGATTTACTGATGAAATGTTTGTTGGAAATATTTAAACACATAGATAAATGATCATAAAACACATTTTTTTCTTGCATTCCAGCTAATAAAAGATGGCATAGGATCAATAATATTCCAACTTTATGGAGAGACTCATTCTATTCTCAGAACTTTAATTAGTTGTTTATTTGTAGAAGATTGAGAATTTCTTTGTGGAAAAATAAGGTTGAATTAAAATCATTAGACGAACAACCATCATTATGTAATTATGCTAAATTTGCCACCAAGTTTGTGTATTGAGGATATGAGTTACTTTGAGGTGCTGATGGTTAGTCCAACCTATAATCAAATATATCGTTTAAAGGAAAGATTAGCAGGCTTCATTTTTGATCATTCGAAACTCGGATCACATACATCGATTTAACTCCTGTTTTCAGATTATTTTAATGGTGCCAAGTTTTTTAATAAATTGGCAAAGAATTGTAAAAAAGCATTCAACAGTTATCAATCACGAGATCTTTATGTAGTAGTGATGATGAAGTTGATCATAGTCTGGCTCGGCTAATTTTAGCACAAAATAATATATAAATCATTTGCCTGTCTATTCTTTAAGCAATGTATCGGATAAATTTAAAAAGGCCGTATTAAAACATAACTAACTATTGTAACCAATGGCGATAATAATTATAATTTAGATGCAATTACATTATCAACGTTTCAAAATTTTAAAATTGTTATGTATATACAAGGTTCTGATGATAATGATAATAGTGGTGGCGGTGGTGATGATGACGACGATGACGATAACGATGGTGATGATGACGATGATAATTATAATTACAATAATAGCAGTAAATCTTAATTCTTTGACCATTAGTGGCAAACCAAGTGATTTTGATTATTTAAGTGAAGTAATTAAATCAATCAATAGGACAAAATTGTAAAAATATTGAATGTTTAAGCACATCGTACAATAATGATATAGATCAATTAATTATAGAAAAAGATCTGTTTCGTTTTTTTTAACAGGCGGGATTATTTATTGGACGGTAGCTCTAGATTTGTTCTAAAAACTCAAAAGAGTTATTAGTAACTGTCTTGTTAACTAACTAACTGCGTTGAGAATGTTAAAATTTTATTACCCAAATGGATCATCTGGCAGCACTAGCAAAATGAACTTAAATATGGAGGTTATACGTTTTATAATTATCCCAAACTGGATTCACATAATCAGTGAATGGTAAAGTGTGGATGCAGTACAAGTCAAAATCATAATTTGGAGAATGTCAAGATCAAGGATGATGATGATACATACAATAGAATAATTATTGAAATAAAGATAGAGTCATAAGAAGCTTTCAGTTAGAAACCCAAGATCTTAAGAAACTTGTACGTTTTGTCATTTATTTACTTAATCTTTATCAGGGTCAATATAATTATTATTTTACAAACAAACCAGCCTTTTATCTCAGGCTCGTGTATTCGTTATTTCATAATAATCAGGCTTTTAGGATATTCATCTTTGATCACCAATGTCCATCAACTAGGAAAAAAACGAAAAAGAATATTGATTTGAAAGTTTTTCCCTCATATAAATTGGCAAGTGTAGTGCGAAAACAAATTTAATTCGATTGTAATTTTTACTATAGTCAAACCTTGTCACAGCGCCAACAAAACATCCTCTGTGGCAAAAATTGGTGATTATTGTTGATGATGATAATTAAATAAAAAAAGTAACGATAAATAGATAATCAAAAGCAGTCTCAAAGACGATTACAACATTTTTTCTGAAGCTTAGGTTAGTTATTGCTCTCAACAACTTCCTCCTCTTCAGCTGGATCAAAAGAATTATTTCTTCTTCTGTTGCCATTTCATTATTTATTTGCAAGCTGTCGATGGTAATATATTATTTTGCTTCTAATGGAGAGTAAATGATAATTATCTCTTTCTGAATTTGGAAATAAACGCTGATTTTAAAGCAGAACTCCATTCTTCATCTATAAAAGTATTTTTGAAGAGAGTGAAATACATCCTCGAGTAATCTTACATTAAAAATTACTTTGTGTTCATTGAAAAACAACCTTCTTTTGTGTAGGAGACTGACTCATTAAGAACGAGTTATATTAATTTCTTCGAATATTTGAATATTCAATTTCATTATTAAATGTTTCATTTTCTGAAGGAAAAGTTCATAATGTTGGTTGTTACTTTAGCAACTTATTTTATTGTATTTGTTATAGAATAGGTTTTGGTGAAGATGTAGTAGGATCGCGATTTGAAACATATGGATAATGATTACTTTTTTTCAGTATGAATATTAATATAATATAAATAACAATTAAAAATAGTTTTTTTACTTGCATTACACAAAATGATGACGACTGGTGTTTTTGATGATATATTCTTGGAGCTTTGCATCCGTCAAAGTTCATCCGAAAAGAAATCTTCATCATCTATATGGTAAATATAATTGTTTGAAATTTTTGCCAAATCCCTGATAAACAATTGTTTTTTTTAAAATCTTCGATTAAACATTGGATGAATAATTTATTCGATTGTTTGTTTTGAAAATTGATTTATTTATATGATTAATTTCAGGCATTGAATTATTGTAAAATTAAATCAACCTCAATTATTCCTTGTCATGGTATAACTAAATTCCCAGAAAATGGAAATTATGCAATGGTTCTTAATTATAATTCAGAAGGAAATTTAAGAGATTATATACAAAAAAATCACTATAATTTAACATTAAAAGATAGAATTAATATTTTTACGGGTTTATGTGAAGCATTATATTATATACATGAAAAAGATTTAATTCATTGTGATTTACATAGTGGTAATATATTATTGCAAGGAGGTAGATGTTATATCACAGATTTTGGATTATGTGGACCAGTCGATGAAAAATTATCAAATAAAATTTATGGGATTGTATCATATATTGCACCAGAATTATTTAAAGGAAAAAAACACACAAAAGAAACAGATATTTATAGTGTTGGGATGTTAATGTGGGAAATATTTGCAGGTCATCCACCATTTGATGATAGAGCACATGATGTTCATTTGCAATTAAAAATATGTGCAGGTTTACGTCCACCAATATTACCAGTAATGCCCAATGATTATGTACAGATGATGCAAAGGTGTTGGGATGTGGATCCAGCCAAGAGACCAACTATTGGAAAGCTTTGGAAATTTTCTATTAATAAATTTGAAACTGAGAGTCCTAATGAAAGTAGTAGTAATATTGGTGGTGGCAATAATGGTAATTCACAACAAATTCACAAATCACATCCATTAGCATATCATACAAGTCGAATATTAAATGATGTAAATGATGAA